TGCGGGCACTGAGGCGCCTTCCACTACCCACCTGCCCAGTGGTAGAAACTCACAGGAACCTTCCTTCCAAAGCAGAAAAGAACCAGCGTTGAAAGATAGATAATGTGATCTGTGACTGGGGTTAAAGTTACTAGCACAGAAAAAGTATCTGCAAATTAAACGTCAGCACACAAATACACATACACACACAAAAACACAGTAAACATTGAAGTGCATGTATCTATAACTCAAATAAAAGACAAGATCACTCCTACCAAATGACTCTGTGACAACTTCAGGTCCCCCCTCCCCTCTGCTCGTGGAGTAATGCAGGAGCCCCTCTCCAGAGTGGGGAGCACATTTGCTCTCTTCACACTCTCAGTCTCTTTACTCACCTGTGCTGAGTAACCAGCAGTGAACATTGGGTGTATGGATGAGGGAGGTAGACACTTGAGATGAAAGGACTGATGAAGAGATGCAGATCACTCTCAGTAATGGTCCCCAAGTGCTGTAGGGGGCCCAGTTTGTGCCTGCGTCTTGGAGCAAAGAGGGGGAAAATTACATCTCATTTACCTCTCTCCAGCTCATGCTCTCTCTGACTACTCTGCCTTTTCATTCAGTTCCCTTCCTTCAACTCTGTCTGACCTAAGGAATCGATCACACACAGGACATATTTGTGAGGGAGCATCCATGCACACAGACCACAGGGAGGGCACATCTGACAGGTGAGCACAGAGACACTCTGCTCACCCAGAGCTCCCGCCCATCCAGCCTGTGTCATTAGGCACCTTCTAGTCAGTGCTGGCGTTCTCAGCTCCTGCTGGGAGGGCCAGCAACAAATAGTAAGACATCCTCCGTGAGCCCTTCGCCTCCCGAGTGGCTGTGTCTGTCTCTGATGCCAGGAACAGCCAGGAGGACACCACTTTGTGAACCATTTGAAGGACAAGGAAAGGTCCCTATGCTCCTGGTTAAGACAGTAATTTGACTGTCTCAGTTCCTGTCAGACCCTGGGGAGGCTCCTGCATAGAAGCTGGAGGGACTGAGCTATTTGGAGTCACCTGAGAGGGTGTCAAGCTATCAGGGTCATAGTCACACCTAAGGAATAGGCCGTACTCCAGCTGAAGTAGACAGTGTCTGTTCAGACAGGACTGGATGCTGGACTCTGCCATTCATTTATGATTCCTCCTGAATGAGTAAAGTCACTTCTCTCAGTCTTGTTTATCAGCTATAAAGTGCAGATAATAAAAATATGATCGTTGTGAAGATTTTGTTAAAGTTTTGAAATCACTCCTGCTAAAGCACAAAATGTCCAGGAAATAGCAGCCCTTATTCTCATTGTCTTTGCATATTACTGCAAAAGATAAATATAATCATTGGTGTTGGTGCCAGTTCAAGTGCCAGTTGAGTGACTAGTTCAGTTGATTCTTTTTTTCCCCAAATCTACTCCCACAACACAACAAGAGTATGTAATACAGATGTGAGTTCCTCAGCCAGCACAGCTTTCTAGCAACTCAGTTTAGCTCGGTAACAGACACCCTTGGGCTGGATGGGTCTGTGCTCTTCTAGACTCTTCAAAAAGTGGATGTTTGCAATGGAATATTACTCAGCAACCAAAAAAAAGAAAAAAAGAAAAAGAAACACATGCCTTTTGCAGCAACATGGATGGAGCTGGAAAAGATCATGCTTAGTGAAATAAGCCAGAAAGAAAAGGGAAAATACCGGATGGTTTCACTCATAGCAGGAGTATAACAGACCAGGCGAGAAAATAATAATAAACAGTTATATACCAGAGACAATTTATGGGGAATGGGATCAAAAACAGTGGGGGGGAGGGAAATGCACTGGACTTTGGTGATGGCACACGTGTGACTTGGTGATGGGAAGCCCATGGGGATTACAACTGAGATGGAAAAATGCACAAAATGATGTAAAAATAAACTATTATTATTTTTTTAATAAAAAAATGTGTTTGTGCATCACCTTTGTTAAGGTTCTTCCTTACATACCTTGCCCAGTTCAATCCACACCCCTAGTTTTTCTTATGCATATAGTGTGCCCTTCCCAGATTACCAGTGTCATGGCACCTCTAAGAAGGAGGATGTGTCTTCACTCTCCCCTGGTCCTCTCCATACCACATTTAGGCCAGCACAGGGGGGCTCCCTGGACATCAGGCTCTGAAATGCAGCTTCTCTAGCTTGGCCAGGAGGACGCGTACTGTCTCTAAGACAAGTATCTAGGCTCACATAGTTTCTGTTCTCTGCCTTTTAGCTCTGAGGCAGGGAATGAGAGCTCACAAAGACCAGGGGTCTTTCTAGTTCATGTCTCTGTGTTACTTTATGTACTAAGAACAGAGGATTCATTCAAGAGAATTTATTCACATGACCAACTTTACATATGATCATCCAAAAGACTAAAAGGTAAGTAAAATAAGAAATCAACCAGTACAAAATAACCACACAATGATTTTCTACCAATTGTGAAACGTAACTTGATATTCCTACCTCATTGAAAATATTTGAAAAAATTACCCTAGAAGACCCCTGTACCTAAACTTGTCTTTGTAAGGTAATTTTAATGAAAATTTAAAATTTTTAATTAGCTTAGGACTATTCAAGTTAAGTGCCTCTTATTTGTTGACCTTTGTTAGTTTTTACATGATACACAATAAGCTTTCATTTGTTAAAAGGAGCAGTTTCATCAGTTTTCCCAGATGCATTCATTGGGAAACTATCATGTCAATAAAGTAGAGATACCGCCCATTACCCCTGAAGATGGCTGTGTCCACACTGTGACTCCTCTTCCCACACTTTCTGCTATAACCAGCAACCCTATAGTTTGCTTGTTTTAGTAGTTTCCATAAAGGCTAGTATCAACTAGCCTTTGGCTATTTTTTTTTATTAGTTGCTATATCAACAATATATTATTGTATTACCTAATAATATTTCATGTATTATAAAATGTTAGTTAACACTGGGTTATTTCCTGCTTGAATCTATAAACATTAAGCTGAACATGTATAAACCATGTTGGACTAGATGGGGACTTTTGCTTCTGATGGCTATTTACCTAAGAGTAAGTCAACACATAAGCACAAAGTCAACATTTAAATGTTTTCTAAGTTGTCATATCACTTTTCATTCCCTCCATGTATGAACTCCTTCATAAACTCGTAACCCTTTTTTTTGCTCAGTGTTTTTCAGTTTAAAATTCTAGTAGTTCTGGTCAACTTTTCTTATGACCAATTCTGTTAGTTTGCCATTCTACTGAGAGTGCCATGGTGACATTTGGGGATTTTAATTTGCATTTACTTGATCTCTAATAATGTGCAGCATCTAATCATTTCTTGTATTTATCTGGTGAAGCATCTGTGCAAACTTCTTCCCAATTGCTTAACCACGTTGCAGGATTTTATCCCATATCTTCAAAAATTTTAATTATTTGATATTTTATATTAGAAGTATTTTCTGTTTTAATATTTTACATCTTACGTGCAGTGCAGGTTTGGTTGAATTTGTGTTTTTGTGTCTGTGGGTCTTCAATTCCTTAAAAACCCACTGATTGTCCTGCTCCCCTATGAAGCATCTGATCAACACCATTTGGAACCTTTGATGGGCTCTGTTCTGTTCCATTGACCTACTTTTTCATCCTTATTCTAACATGAATCTGACGTGATTACAGTAATTTTAGGATCAACTCATACTTTAGAGGAAAATTTATCACATACTACCAAATAAGGTATAAACATTTCAAGCATTCCTTGGGTTTTTGAATAACCCAAGGTCTTTGCATCTCCTTCAAAAGATTAGAATCCATTTGTCAATTTCTACCAAAAAACAAAAACCAGAAAAACTGCTAAGTCTTTTATGGGATTGCAATGCTTATCACAGATGATTATTGTGATTCAGAAAACATTCGTTTTTATATTTGCCAATATTATGAAAATTTCCATTGTTTATCAATTTGTTGTGAATTAATCAGTTGAAAATTTCTGTTGTTCGTCAATTTGTTGTGAATTTTCAGTATTCTCAGATAATCACTACATTATAGCTATAGCCTTACCCTTGACTTTCCAGTAATGTAAGTCTGCTGAATTTAGTTTATTTTTCTGAAAATTTCTTTATTTTTACCTTCTCTTCTGTAAAATATATTCCAGGTTGGCAAGATTACTAAAAATATTTTTATTAAATATAAAAGGGGTGTTCTTTCATCTTCTGATTCCTCCATCCTTATATTGCCCCTAAGGATATAAGCTAATTCTGAGGCTTAGTTTGGTGACAGTTGGGCGCTTTTGACCCTCATCTCCACCATACATAATATATGTATTATTTTCATATTGCCAAGGGCACATATATTAACTTTAAAATACACACTCCCCAATTTATACAACTTTATGCACTCACATCACCAAAATGATTCCACTCATGAAATTGTAATCATGGTTTCTTGTTTTCCCCACCCCTTCTTCTTACTGTGTCACTGCCTAACATGCATACACAAAGTTTATCAATTTGAAATATAACATTTCACATTTGTGTATAGCCATTATTACTACTACCAAATAAGATATAAACATTTCAAGCATTCCAGAATATTTCTTTTTTTGAAATGAACTATAGCACTTACTGACAACAGAAACCTTCAAAATTGCATCAGTGAACACATTTATGAAATGCAGATAAACTATCGTAAAAAACAACTTACGAGGAAATGAAGTTGTGGGTTTATTATGGGATTGACAAATTTGCAAAAAATTGGAAGTAAAACTTAAATTAGCAGAAGATATTCTTTCTGACTTCCTCTTTCCATGGACTGTGAGGAGCAAATGAAGAAAGGCAGGTAGGATTGAAGGACTTTCCATCCTCTTTCCTGCCACTGCTCCCTACTCTCCAACCTCAACACCTATTATGTAGCAGTCGGGCAGCATCTGCTCCAAGAATTGTTAAGCAAATGTCATGATCACTGAGTCAGTCTGGTTGATGAAGACAGGTGTGTGTCAGCAGAGATAGTGATTATTAACTTGCTCATCTTGAGTCTTTTGACACAAGGAACTTTACCCGGTTAATAAGGGTTTCCAGAGCACGTTTCATGTCTCTGTTCCTCAAGCTGTAGATGAAGGGGTTCAGCAAGGGGGTGACAACCATATACATCATAGATGCAGTTATGTTTTCTTCACTGGAGGTAGAAGAGGAAGAAAACAGGTAAACTTCTGCAATGGTGCCATAGAATAAAGACACAACGAGGAGGTGGGAGCCACAGGTAGACAGGACTTTGAAGAATTTCTTAGCTGAGGGCTCTCTCAGCACGGTGGTCCAAATCCGAATATAGGAGCCCAAGATGCCACTCAATGGTGTGAGGACAATCACTCCTCCCTCAAAGAATATGACTAACTCATTGATGGAGATGTCTGAGCAGCTCATCTTCAGGAGTGTAGTGAGGTCACAGAAGAAGTGGGGGATGGCATTGTTACCACAGAAGGACAGTGGAGCCAGGAGCAGGGTGTGCAGCAGAGAGTGGAGACAACTGAAGAACCAGCACGCAGCTACTAAGGAGACACACAGCTCTGGCCTCATGATGGTGGTGTAGTGGAGGGGCTGACAGATGGCCACATACCTGTCATAGGCCATCACTGCCAGAAGGAAATTGTCAAAACAACCAAACCATATTAAAAAATACATCTGAGAAATGCACCCAGCATAGGGGATGAACTTGTGATCACTGTGCATGTTTGTCAGGATCTTCGGGACAGTGACAGATGAGAGACACACATCATTGAGTGCCAAATAGCTAAGGAAGAAGTACATGGGGGTGTGGAGGCGCGAGTCCAGCCTGATGAGCAGGATGATGAGCAGGTTCCCCAGCACCGTGGTCAGGTACATGGCCAGGAACAGGGTGAAGAAGACCCCCCGCTGCTCAGGAAGGATGGGGAGCCCCAGGAGGAGGAACTCGGACACGCTGCTCTGGTTCTCCTGCCTCATGCTGCTCATATCTCTGCTGGGGATGGTCAGGAGAAGTAGACATCTTAGAAGGAATCATAAAATCATAGCAATATCCTCTTTTCGTTAAAATGTTAATTTTTAAACTTTCTGCTCACATCTGTTGATGGTTTCCAAAAAGTCTCTTGCTGTAGAGCTCCATGGTATAGCACACTCTCAATATCCTGCAAGTCTTCCTTCCATGAATCAGAGAATCTTTATTCCAGATTTATTGAACAACAGCCTTTTCCCAGTTTTGACACAAAAAAATTGAAAAGCCCTAACACTCAAGGATTTGTACTGTCATATACTAGTCAAAATCAACCACTGGCATGACATGGCAAACTCATGAGATAGCACATCACAGACTTTTGCACTTTACTCATCAAAATATATTAATTCCCTAAATTGGAGTAGAAGTGCTAAGAACTTGTGACAGGCTTAAGTGAAATGGTAGAATTCTTGTTGATCAGAGACATTAATATTCCCTTTAATCTTCCTTTTAACATGGTGTCAACCCAGGGTTTCCAAACCAACCTTAAAAATAATATCAAATATCTATCGTTAACATACTCTAAGCACACATTTGGCCTAGTTTCACATACACATTTTATTTAAATCTCCCTTAAATCATTAATTAATCTGCACTATAATGACTTTTTTAACTATGAGAACAAAAGTACATTTCAGTTGGTGTAAAGGTGCATGAATATTGAATCCCTCCTAAGAGCAAGAGTTTCTGTGAGAAATCAGACATGCTACGTAACATCATTGTTAGTCTGTTGGTCCAAGAGTTATTGACCATATTTACCATCATGCATGTTACAACAGGATCTTAAATAGTTTCATTTCAAAAAGTACAAATATATCTACTAAAGATTGTATACATCATTAGGAAAATATTATTTCTTCATTTCATAAATGACATAAATCAACAGCCAAAGAAATAGATGACCGCAGGTGTATTTCAGATTCAGCTTCCTTTGGCAGTAAGATTAGAGTTAGGATCACACACACACATGCACACACACATACACATGGAGAAGGAATCTAGACTGACTCACTCAAGTAGCAGAGCAGGACAGCAAGGCCTTCTCAGGGACCATGACCTTGCTGAGGGCTCTGCTTGTGTTGGTTCATGGCCACCAAGAAGACAGTGTCTGGAGCCCCATGTGGGGCCTGGCTGCCCACTGACCTGTGCTGTGTCTGCCTCACTGAGAAACCAGAGGAAACAGCAGGAACCTCCTGTACCCACCAGGTATCAGTAGTGTGAATGAGACACTGGGTATATCAGGTCGAAGTCACACCACAGAAGCAATATCTGCAAATTAAACACCACACTCTCACACACATACACATAACCTTGAAATGCTTTGCATTTATAGCTCAAATGAAATACAAGATCACACTTATCCATGAGTCTTTAAAAATTCCAAGTGCTCCCTCTCTGCCCCTGCTGCTCATGGGTAAATGCAGGAGCCCTGCTCATCCTCGTTCTTCACACTCCACAGTCTCCTTACTCACCTGGGCTGAGTAACTAGAAGTGAATGTTGGGGTTTATGGATGAGGGAGGTAGATGTTTGAGATGAAAGGCTGGTGAAGAGACTGCAGATCACAATACCACGCTTAGCAGTGGTCCCCAACTGCTTTATGGAAGACAGTTGGTGCTTGTTTCCTAAGGCCAAGCAGTGGGGGGAATAGCATGTCATTTACCTCTCTCCAACTCTGTCTTCAGTCTCTCTCACTGCTCTTCCCTTTCGTTCCCTTCCATTCCTTCCACTCTCTGTCTGACCTAAGGAAGAGGTCACATACACAGAGATGTTAGTGAGGGAACGTCCATCCACCCCATCACACACAGACCCACATGGAGAACACCTGTGAGCTCTGAGCACAGGCACACCTTCTGCTCACCTAGAACCCCCACCCATCCACCCTGTGAAATTCCTTCTTACAGGCACCTTCTTATCAATATCTGATTCTTAGCTTCTGCTGGGAAGATCAACAACAAATAGTAAAGAGACATCCTCTGTGAGTCCATCACCTCCCAAGCTTGCTGTGTCTGCTCCTGATGCCAGAGAACAGCCAGGCGGACACTACTTCATACGGCACTTGAAGGACAAGGAAAAATCCCTCAGGTTCTTATTAAGGAAGGAGTAAATTGATTGTTTCAGTTCCTGTCAGACCCTGGGGAGGAGCCTGCAGAGAAGCTGGAGGGACTGAGCTTGTGGATTCACCTGAGAGGGTGTGGAGGTATCAGGGGACAGTGATCTGCTTATAGGCCCACCTGAGAAGCCTTCCTCCAGCATGGGGTCGCCAGCACCTGTTCAGACAGGACTGGCTGCTGGACTCTGTCACTCATTATTCATCCTAAATGAGTAAAGTCACCTCTTTGAGTCTTGATCAGCTAAAGTGCAGATCATGAAAGTATGATAGTTATGAAGATTTTATTAAAGTTTCAAAATCATTCCAGCCAATAAATGGCAGCCCTTCTTGTCATTATATTTGCATATTCTAGCAAAAGCTAAATGTAATTGATGTTGATGCTATTCAAGGCAGCTGAGTGACTCAGTCAATTCATTGTTTTTCAGAGCTACTTCCATAACACAACATGAGTCTGTGATACAAACATGAGTGCTCAGCCAGCAGTTTTACACCAGCTGGGTTTAATTGGGTGACAGACACCCACCAGGCTGGAGGGCTTTGCCTCCTCTAGACTCTTTGAAAAGTGGCATTTGTGCATGACCTTCTCAAGGATCTCCCTTACGCACCTGGCCCAGTTCAGTCCACACCACCAATTTTTCTTATGCATATCATGTCCCTAGAACTAGGGGCAGTTCCTTCCCATGGCCCCAAAGTCATGGTACCTCTAAGAAGGAGGATATGTCTATAACACTCCTCCTGCCCCCCAAATCTAGGCCACGCAGGGCTGCACACAGAGGAGCTCCCTGGGAAGACTGAAATGCAGCTTCTCTAGCTCAGACAGGAGAACAAGTATCTAGTCCTCATGTAGTTTTCATTCTCTGTCTTTTAACTCTTGGGACAGGGAATGAGAGCTCACAGAGACCAGAGATTCTCTCAGTTCAAGTCTATGCTAGTTTACAACAGAGGAATCATCAAGAGAATTTGTTCACGTTACCAGTGTTATACATGGTTATCCAAAACACTAACGTTAAATAAAGTAAATCAACCAGAACAAAATAAACACACAATAAGTTTTTTTTAACTGATTGTGAAACATAATAACTTGATATTCCTTCTTCATTGAAAATATTTGAGAAAATCACCCATGAAAATGTCAGTACCTGAACTTGTCTTTGTAAGGAAATTTAAATAAAAATTTAAGTTTTCTAATTGGTTCAACACTGTTCAACTTAACAGCATCTCATTTGATTACTATTATTAGTTTTTATATAATACACAATAAGCCTCAATTGTTAACAGGAATAGTTTGATCATTTTTGCCAGATGCATTCATTGGGAAATAATCATGTCAAGGAAGCAGAGATAGCATCCGCTACCCCTGAAGATGGCCATGTCCACACTGTGACCCCTCTTCCCACACTTCCTTTTACCTCTCCTGCTATATAACCAGCAATCCCTGACTCATTTACTCTGACAACAGTTTGCTTGTCTAGAAGTTTCCATAAAGGTAGTCACATAGTATGAGCTATGCTTTGGCAGACTTCTTTCATTAGTATGTTACTTGAAGACATATCACAGATGCTGTGTCAATAATTCATTATTTTATTGCTGAATAATATTTCATATGTATCAAATGCTGATTAGCATTGGGTTATTTTCCATTTCAATCTATTAACATTAAGCTGAACATTTATAAACCAGTTTTAAATGGACATAGACTTTTGCTTCTGATTGATAATTACCTAAGAGTGAGTCAACACTTAAGAACAAGATGAACATTCTAAGTAACTACTAATGTTTTTCTAAGTTGTCATATCACTTTTTATTCCCTCAGAGTATGAGAAATTGTACTTCTTCATAAATCTTAGTTTGATCAGTGTTTTTTCTTTTTTTCCCCTTTTTTTCTGTTCAATTTTACTTTATTTTATTTTTGGTCATGAAAAGTAGGTGACTTTGCATCTTTTTTAATATTTTTTATTTCTTTGCATCATTCTTCATTTTGTGCATTTTTTCAATTCAGTTGTAATCCCCATGGTGATCAGTGTTCTTAAGTTTAAAAGTCTAGTATATTTGGTCAACTTTTGTTATAACCAATTCTGTAAATTTACTATTCTACTGGGAGTGCAGTAATGATGCTTTGGGATTTTAATTTATATTTATTTGATCTCTAAGTATCTAATCATTTCCTATATTTATTTGGTGAAGCATTTGTTCAAATCTTTTGCTCAATTTTTAAGTTGGAATTTGTTGTTGAGTCTTTGAACAATTTTTACATATTTTTTATTTCAAGTACTTTGTCGCATTTACTTCTTAGAAGCATTTTCTACCCATGTTTTATAGTCTTATTCTTTTAAAATATTATCAAATAGTATGCTGAAGTTCAGTTTGATGAAGTTCAATTTTCAGTACCTTCTGTGAATTGCAGTATCTGTGCTTTTGTAAGAAGCCTTTGTTTAACCCAAGATCACAGGATTTTATCCTATGTTTTCTTCCAAAATTTTTATAATTTCAGAATTTGTTTAAAGTATTATCTATTTTAAAATTCTGTGTTTTTACATTAGTGTAAGATTTGACTGGAAGTTCCTTTTGTTGATGCTTTTCTTCAACATCCTTTGTAGAAAGTCTATATTTCCCTTTTTCCTCTGTGAAGTATCAGGGTCTGCATGGTATCAATCTACTTATGGGCTCTACTTGTTTAATTGACTCATTTTATCGTCTTTATTCTAACCTGAGTCTGACTTGATTACAATATTTTATGATCAGGTTGTACATATGTAAAGACTCATCTCATCCTCTGATCCCAGCTGCTTTGGCCTCTGGTTGTTGCCATCTATTTTAAAAATTTAGATAGGATGTCAATTTCCACCTAAAAAAAAAGTAAGCAATATTTTTTAGGATGTTGATGGGGTTGTAATGCTTATCATTAGTGTTTTCTTTCAGTCAATATTCATTTTCTATTTACAAATATGATTATTTCCATTAACTGATTTGTTTGTGAATTTTCACATTTTCTCATAAAGTCATTACCTTATATCTGGAGAATTACTTTTGGGATTTCCATCATTTTATGTTGTGTGTTTCTGTAAATACTAATATTTCACCTTTATTACAGAAGAATAAATTTCAGGTTGTTACTGTAAAAAATGTAGCTTTCCTATATAAAAATATCATTCCTTATTATTCTGATTTCATTCATTCTTATGTTGCTGCTAGTGTTCATAAGCTAGTTCTTGTGGCTTATTTGTGTGATGATTGGGTACATAGAGTCACCAAATACTTTTGACCCTCACCTCTTCCCTGAAAATTAAGTGGCATTCATCTTCCAGCTCTTCTAGCATGTGAACAACCAGGAAGTTTTCCAAATCAGTTCACACCTCTACACACCAGATAACACCTAGGTGATGGACTTAGGGAAAAGTTCCTAGGAAATCTTTGATAATAACACAAGAAGAGAAAAGACTTTTTGCTTGAGTTATGGAGTAGGTAAAACAGAAAACCGGGGAGGAAAGAAAAAAGCAAGTAAGAAAATTGGGAGCATTTCTTTTCCAGAATAATGACATTCATTTTTACAGAGATGTCATTAAGTATTTATCTCTGTGTTTATCTGAATGTACAATATATGTTTGTGTGTGTGTGTGTGTGTATATATATATATATGTTGCATGTACTTTTTGCATGTTGCAAATGTCACATATTTTAACTATAAAATACATACTTCCCAATTTACATAATTTCATTCCAAAGCATATCACCATAACATTTTCACTCAGAAAATTATAATCAAGAGTTGTTGTATTTTCTCAGCCCTCTCTCTTGTATGCCTGATAGATTTTTACAAAAAAAAAAAAAACCTGTGCCTGTTTAAGTGACAACTTAACTACCACCAGGACAAGATATAGAAGATTTCTTGCAATAGATTTCTTCCTTAGGACTCTATTCTTAAAATAAATTAACATTCACTAAAAAGAAAATTTTAAAGTCACATTAAAGTACATACATTTTAAAGGCAGGCCAGCACATTAAAACCAACACTTCAAAAGAAATGAAGTTTGGAGTCATCAAAAGTTTATTCTGGAAATGTCAAATTTAAAAATTTTTAAATTCAATTTATAAAAGCAGAATTTTTGATTACATGCTTTCTAGCTCCCTCCTTCCTTGGCTGTAAAGAGCCAAGAAAAGAAAGGCTGGTTTTTATGGAGTTGGTGAGACAGAATGAGTTTACACCCTCATTATTGCCTCTTCACATCCTCCCTCATCTCCAACCCCTAGCACTGTGCATGTTGCGATTAGGCATTAGATATTCTGAGAGTTGTTAAGAATCATTGCAAGTCAATTTGGGTAAAGAAAACTGTGATATGTCAGCAAAGAGGGAAATAGATGAGGCCAACTTCCTTGACCTATACATGCAGTCCATTCAACTGGCTACTCAGAATGTCAGTTAAGGTGTGCTAATTTCCTTGTTGCTTTGACTCTATTATTATTACCAGATTCAGACTGAGTCTTTTGACATAAGGAATTTAGCCCGATTAACAAGTGTTTCCAAGGCACGTTTCATGTCTCTGTTTCTCAGACTGTAGATGAAGGGGTTCAGCATGGGAGTAACTATCATATACATCACAGAGGCAGTTATGTTTTTATCATTGGAGGTGGATGATGAAGAGAAAAAGTAAACTTCTGCAATGGTCCCATAGTATAAAGCCACAACGAGGAGGTGGGAGCCACAGGTAGACAGGACTTTGAAGAATTTCGTAGCTGAAGGCTCTCTCAGCACAGTGGTCCAAATCCGGACATAGGAGCCCAAGATGCCACTCAAAGGCACAATGATAATCACCCCTCCTTCAATGAAGATAACCAACTCATTGAGGAAAACATCTGAGCAGCTCATCTTCAGGAGTGTAGAAAGATCACAGAAAAAGTGTGGGATGGTATTGTCAGTGCAGAAGGACAGTCGGGTAAAAAGGAGGGTGTTCAACAGAGAGTGGAAAAGGCAGAAGAACCAGGACCCAGCGACTAAGGAGACACACCGCTCCGGCCTCATGATGGTGTTGTAGTGGAGGGGCTGACAGATGGCCACGTACCTGTCATAGGCCATCACTGCCAGAAGGAAATTGTCAAGACAGCCAAACAGTATGAAAAAATAAGTTTGGGAAATGCACCCTGCATAAGGGATGGACTTGTCATTAGCCTGCATGTTCATCAACATCTTAGGGACAGTGACAGATGATAAACACATATCATTGAATGCCAGTTGGCTGAGGAAGAAGTACATGGGGGTGTGGAGGCGCGAGTCCAGCCTGATGAGCAGGATGATGAGCAGGTTCCCCAGCACAGTGGTCAGGTACATGCCCAGGAACAGGGTGAAGAAGACCCCCTGCTGCTCTGGAAGGATGGGGAGCCCCAGGAGGAGGAACTCAGACATGCTGCTCTGGTTCTCCTGCCTCATGCTGCTCATGTCTCTGCTGGGGATGAAGGAGAAAAGCAGAGAATGGCAGTCTAGAACTAGCCACAACATTACAGTGATGTCCTTTTTATATGAAGGTGTTTATTTTTAACCAGATTTTTCTTCATTGCTCCTACCTGCTGATGCATGAATCATAGTTTGTCAAAGTTGGGCTCTGATGGTACATGACACCTTCACAAATATAACAAAATTTCCTTCCATGAAATAGAGGGCACTAACCATTATTACACAAATTGAACAGCAATGTTGTCCCGGGCACCACATAAAGCACTGAGTTCATATAGTCAACATGAAATGCAGTCTCTACATTCAATGAGAGACTTGTTATGTCTACTCTCAATGATGGGCATGACACAGAAAAAATGAGATGAACAGCAGGAGATACACAGCTCTCATGTCCTCTTAAAAAGTTGTAGAACTCTATAAACTGGAATAGAATAGCTAATGATTTGTTGCAGGCTTACTGTGAAACTTGTGGAATTCCTACTGATTAGAAATATTTCATAAGCCTTGTTACCAAAGTATCCATCCAGATTCCCAACCAATGTTGAAAATCATATCAAATATCTATCATGAATGTTCCAGACAATATTCCAAAGGCTTCACAAACACTTTCTACTTAAACTGCCCCCCCACATAATCCTAATTAATCATTGCCCAATACTCACGTTAACTCTGAGGAAAGCACTTTGTAAAGGTTTGACGTTGTACCATGCATAAGCAGAACTAGTGGATTAAAACGTGTGTCTAAACAGAATCCGTCATCTGCATGGATGTCTTAGCCCTCATTAGACATTGTGAGTGGCTGCATCTGTCCCTCCGTTGGTCAAAGACTTATCAATCAGATTGACACATCATACGACATGAAAAGGGCTTTCACTCAACTTTGATTTCAAGAAGTAATGCTGTATCTACTGACTATATGGTACATAAGCCAAATATTATGCTTTTCATTTCATAAATGTGATAAATCCTCATCCAAAGACTGAAATTACCACATGAGTTCATTCAGTTCTCAGACTCACCCTTCCTTTGGCAGTGACATTAAACTTAGGGTTACCCATGCACACTCACAAATACCCACACTCACACTGAAGAATGAACCTCACTGACTCACGCAGGGCCCAGGCAGCAAGGACTCCTTAAGGACCATGACCTTGCTGAGGGCTCAGCCTACCTTGGTTCCAGCCACCGGGAGGACAGTGTCTGGTCCCAGGCTGTGTCAGCCTCACTGAGAAACAGAGGAAAAAACAGGAACCAACTGGACCAACCGGGCCCTGAGGAATGCGCTGGGTCCAGAGCCGGGAAGGGTCAGGTGTGCGCTCAGGTGTGGGAGGGGCGTCAGGGGCCTCTTTCCTTGCAAGTCTACCTGTGCTGTTCTGGAAAGTGGAATCCTCCTTACTGAGCACCAATTATGGCAGGTGTCCGCTGGGCAGTCTGTGTGTCCTGCCTCATTCAGTCTCCTCAAGACAGTGTCGTGGGGGTGGGGGGTTACCCCCCTTCCTCAGGGAGGAATCTGAATGTCAGAGAGCAAACATAAGGGCTAGATGAGGACTGGGCCCCAGAGGGACCTGCGGCAGGCACTGAGTTCCCATCTGTTAGTATGTGACGCCTGCCCAGTGTCGGAGATACAAGTGACCCTTCCTCTCAGTGACCACTGTAGACGGACAGTAGTGAGGAGCACATGGGCCCCATGCAGTGGTGGAGCTATCACAGCAACACTGTCTGTACATAAACATCAACACACCACAACATGGAGTGACAGCTGTATATAACTCACAGAATGCAAGGTCACATCCCACACCACTGAGTAATGATTTCATTCCTCCCTCCCCTGCACTCGTGGATAAATGCAGGAGCCCCTGCTTCAGAGTGGGGAGCAATCTTTGTTATTTACACTGTACAATCTCTTTACTCACCTGTGCCGAGTAGTCAGAGATGAACATGTGGGAGTTATGCAGGATGCAGGGCAGATGCTTGAGATCAAAGGCTTGACTAAGAGACTGCCCATCCCACTCAGCAGGATTTACATGTGTGATTGGGGTTAAGTTGGGGCTTGTGCGCTGGGCCAAAGAGAATCAGCTGTGAGTCATTCTTTGCTGTGTACTTACTGTATCTTTTGTCTGTCTGTCTCCCCTTCTCTTCCCTCCCATTTTATTCCCTCCCCCCCACCTACCCTGAAGAGAAAAGGGGATCCCCTACACAAACATTAGTTATGGAACACCCATGCTCCCCATCACCCACAGACCACAGGGAGGACACATCTGACCTCTGAGCACAGACACTCCACTCACCCAGGGCCCCCACCCATCCACCCTGCCTCATTCCTTGTTGCATCAGGCACCTCCTAATCAGTGTCTGAGTCCTCAGCTTCTGCTGGTAGGACCAGCGACAAATAGTAAGGAGACATCCTCCATGAGCCCATCACCCCCCGAGCTCTCTGTGTCTGTCCTTGATGCAGGAACAGCCAGGCGGACACCACCTTATAAACCACTGAGAGGACAAGGAAAGGTCCCTCTGCTCCTGGTTAAGGGAAGACAGTCGCTAATTGTCCCCAGTCCCTGCCAGACCTTGGGGAGAAGCTGCCTGGAGGCTGGAGGGACTGAGCTGGAAGAGTCACTGGAGCACGTGAGAGGGTGTTCCCGGTGTCGGGGAGCCTGGGCTGCTCTTTGCCTGCAGTGCCGGCCAGGTAGCTGCTGGCATGATTGTCCCTTAAAGCCAAAGTACCCAGTGCTCTGGGCTTTCCAGTCATCCTTTCAACCCTAAATAAGTAAAGTAACTTTCCTCTGTCTTGTTTAACCCTTTATAAATGCAGATACTAATGCTATGATTATTCATGTTTCTATTGAGACTATGTTAAATCACTCATCATAAAGCATCTAGTGCACAATAAATGTCAACTCTTACTGTCATTATCTCTGTATATCCCAGCAAAAGATAAACATATCTATAATCTTGAGTAAATGTGTTAATTTTATAGTATTAGTGGCTTTTGAATGACTCAATCAATCATTAATACATTCTGAAATTTCAATCAAGACCCACTTCTCCAGGAGAAAGACCTCAGCTAGCCCCACAGAACAGCCCAGCCCTGTGGCACAGTATTTCATGCAGCACGTGTACCCCTAGGTAAACATGTAAAGTGACACCCCAGGCTGGATGGCTCTGTGCTCCTCTGGACTCTTAGGAAAGTGGCCATTTGATTTGTGCAGGACCCTTCTCAAGGTTTCCCCCTACACAGCTTGCCTACATCAGTGCACACCCCAGTTTTGTTAGCATGTGATGTGCCGTACAATGGGGACACATTGCTTTCCTAGGTCCCCCAAGAAAGGCACCTCTAGGAGGGAGGCTGTGCCACTAACCGCACCCCACTCACTTGGGGTCACACAGGACTGCACACAAAGGGCCCCCTGGGCCTCAGACTCTGAAATGCAGCTTCTTGAGTCCAGGCAGAAGGTTGCCTGCCGTCTCCGAGACACATACTTGTCCACAGGTGGTTTTCATTCTCCAGCTTTTAACTCTTGGGTCTGGGACAGAGAGCTCATAGAGACCAGGGATTTTCCTTAGTTCAAGTTTCATTTCTACTGTATTTACATAGGATCAGGATAGTGTTTTCTACCAATAGCTAACATCATAAGTTGGCACTCTGTCTTTATTAAGTGTGTTTGATAAAATCAACCATGAAGTCTTTTGTGCCAGAACTAAATGTAAGAAATTTTAATGAAAAATTAACTTCTTTATTAAGGATATGGCAATTCAACTTAATTGCATCTCTTTGTCCATAACTGACAGACTGGAAACTGTAGATATTTTAAATGCACAATTTGTTCAGTTTTGACATACACATTCATTCATGAAAATAAATCGCCAATGAAATTGAGATAGAGCCCATTGCCCTGAAGGCAGCCATGTCCTTCTGTGACCCTTCCTCCCACATTTGTGACTTTTTTACCTCCATCGAGGATAACCAGGCAACTGTGATCGGATTTTTCTCATTTTAGATTCACTTGCTTGTTCTAGCAGTTTACAGAAATGGATCAGACAGTACGTGCTGCCCTTCTGACAGACTTCTCTCATTGGTATATTTCTTTAAGAGTCATTCCAGTTGCTTTATCAATAATCCATTGTATTTATTGCTCAGTAATATTTCATATGTATCAAATGTTAGTTAGCCCTGGGTTATTTCTCTTTTGGCTCTGTTGACTTTAAGCTGAATATTTATAAAGCAGTTTTGAAGGAACACAGGCTACAGTTTTAAAATAGGTACTGGCCTAGGAGTAGGATGGAAAGGTCAGATGGTAAGTAGGTGGTCAACATTTAAAGAAAGTAGTGATGTTTTTCAATTTTGACTCACAAGCAGTATATGAGGATCTGAATTTCCTCAGATACCTTAGATTGGTCAGTGTTTTAAATTCTACCATTCTAATAGTTATGGTCAACATTTGGGGTGACCAAGTTTTTAATTTAACCTTTTAATGGGAGGTATCTTTGGCATATTGCATTTACTTGATCACTAATAATGTTGAACACCTGTCTAGTCATGTTTGAATATTTTTGGGGGGAGGTAAAGCATCTGTTCAAATTATTTACACATTTTTTAATTGAGTTGGTTTTTAGCCATTACTGAGTTTTTGAGAATTTTCTGTGTATTTTATTTCAAGCATTTACCAGATATATTATTTAGAAATATGTTTCCCCCTTGTGTTTGATAGTGTTATTCTTTTAACAGTATTATGGTGAAGTCCAGTTTTCAATACCTTCTTTTATGAACTCCAATTTTGATATTTTAATAAGAATTACTTGCTTAACCTAAGATCACAGAGTTTAACCCCACATGATGTTCTAAACTTTTCATAATGTGAGGTTGTATATTCAATTGTTTTATTTTACTGTTTATATTAAATACAAGATTTGTCAAAGCTCATATTGTTGACTATGGATTTCAACTCTTCCAGCATTATTTGCCAAATGGCTGTTTCCCC